CCCAGCATGACAGATCAACCAAGGTCCTCTCACATTCATTTACAGCCCAGCAGCGTGCAAATGAACGTTCACGTGGATTTTGGGGCAACACAAAAGACTATTTACTGATAGTACGTTAGTAAAGGAGTGCTTGAATGCTGTTGCTGAAACTTTACTTGAGGGTAAACAAAAAGCTGTGTGAAAAAAAAATCAACCAAATCCCCATGGTCAGCTTCAACAGCAAAAAAAAAGACTCAATTATTAACAGAGGATGTATTGGCACAGCTTTTCAGAGTGCAGTATGCGTCTGATAAATCAACAGATATAGCTGATAATGCCCAGCTTTTGGTGTATGCAAGATTTTTTTTTACAAAGAAGCAAAAACCTGTTAGGTCTAACACCACTTGAGACACATACAAGAGGACAAGACATCTATGAGGCCATTAAGGAGATTCTGAGAAAGAGGAGGATAGATCTGAAAAAGGTTGTCTCAGTCACCACTGGTGTCCCTGCCATAGTAGAAAAGGAGAGAGAGGAGCTGTGGCATGGCTGAAAGAGGACAACTCTGACCTTATTGCATACCACTGCGTCATTCACCAGACTGTCATGTGTACCATTCTATCAGAAAAGTTTGCAGAAATAACAGACACGATGATGAAACTCATCAACTTCCTCAGGGTATCCTCATCCCATCAACACCGTTTACTAAGAGAGTTTCTTAGAGAAGTTGAGGCAAATGCAAATGACCTTTTACTGCACAACAATGCTAGATGGCTGAGTAAAGGCAGCGTATTGGAACGCTTGTGGTCCATTCGAACAGAAGTAGCAGCTTTCCTAGTACAACTCAAAAGTCAGAAAGCAGAACAGTTTCCACCGTTTTTACAAGATGAAAGCACAATTTATAGTATTGCTTTCCTAGTAGACATAATATCACACCTTAATGAACTGAATTTACAGCTGCAAGACAAGAACAATTCAATTTGTGATTTGATGACCACTGTCCACTCCCTCCAGAGAAAACTGGATTTGTTGAAGGAAGATCTTCAAGGAGAGTGCTTGCATTTTACGAAGGTGAAAGAACAGATTCAAGGAAAGAGAGATGTTTCTCCTTTTGATGACTTCATAAATAAACTGATTGGAAATTCAGTAAACGGTTTGACATCTTAAATCTTGAACAGCAGCTCCTCCTGCTCATCCACAATCTATTCCTCCATAAAGATATCAGAATGTTTTCAAAGGAGGTGATGCAGACCTTCAAGTGGGCACATGAAGGATCGCTACAGACTGAAATTATTGATATGCAAACAAATGTTGCACTAAGAGAGCACTTTGAATGAACTGATTCTGCTAACTTCTGGCTACAGGCCATGTCTGAAACTGAATTCCCTTGTCTAACCAAGGTAGCATTACACACCTTGACCATGTTTGGATCTACGTACAACTGTGAGTTGACTTTCTCCTTTGTGAACATTATTAAAACTAAGTATCCTTCCAGGCTCACCAGTGAGCATCTACAAATGTGCATAAAAATGGCAGTAACTCCATCTAAGCCAAGATTCAAACTATTGGAAGGACAATCAAAAGGCCATTTCTCTCACTAGACAGAGAAGTTTAAGATTTTTGGCAGGGAAAAAACTGAAAGAAAACAGGATAATGTGTGCAAGTTCAGATTGACACCTTCAGTTATACAACTCAGAAGGTGCTATTTTCTTTTACTTGAAATATGGATGTGCTTTTTATGTTTTATTAAAGAGTTATTTACTTGTTTCTATGTTGTTTCTGCTAAAGACAGTTGATTGTATTTCATACAAAGACAAATGTGAAGCCATTGTAGTTCTAACTGTCCACATGTTTAATGTCGTAACTGAATCTGGACAATAAATATTGTTGACATGCTATGGAAATTGTACATTTGTCATTTTTTATAGACATACAGGGGTTTATTTACTAAAGCTGGAGAGTCCAAAATCAGACTCCCTTCTGCATAGAAACCAATCAGCTTCTAACCTCAGCTTGTTCAATGAAGCTTTGGCAATGAAACCTGGAAGCTGATTGGTTTCTTTGCAGAAGGGAGTCTGATATTGGACTCTCCAGCTTTAGTAAATAAACCCCACAGTGACTACACTCTGAGTCATAGCAGAAACATGAGATTCGGACCTCGGCCAGAAGTACATTTTAGTGACCTCCTTGAATTTTAATTCAATACCCCTGGTGTAAGCAATCGAATATAGGAAGTGTGTTACTAGACAGATCATCAGGTGAAAACAGAGGGGGAAAGGACTAAAAAAGAAAACAAATGCAGCTACCACCTCTAATGATTGGTAAACTGCAATATCGTACATTTCTGGTTTGGGATTTAATAACGCTTTAACTTTCCTATATACCCAGTTCTTTGCCCATGCAGAGCAAAGCAACTTTATTTTTAACTTACCTTTCACTCCCTTATTGCTCTGTTCACCAATGAGAGTGAAGAAAAGGAGGACTATATTTACTGCAAGTCATGACAGAGTTTACATAAGGCTGAGAACTTTCACCCTACCTACATGTGACAGTGCTGGGTTCTGGTTTCCACACCAATGCTGTTGAAGGGGAGGACAGAATGATGTGCATTACCACAATGCATAAGTGTGAAGTGAGCCTAAAGCATTACACATACAGTATTTTCATATTGTGCAATATTTATGGTTTTGCAATCACAAATTAAATTTTAGTTTGCTGGTTTTATTGGATGTGGTTTCTTAATTTACAGCATGCACCTTATACTGTGAATTGTATGATATTTTGCATAAAAACGTAAATTCACAAAGATTAATGCGTGGGTTATGTGTGATAAAACACTGCTGTTTTCTGTCTTGTATTAACTGTGAGGTTCTATGGGGTCTCCAATAAGGAGAACAGAAAGCAGGGCTAATTGAGGTGACAAATAGGCTTTCTGTTGTAAAATAGCCATTTCTTGTGAACAAAAATCATCATGCACCTGTGCAATATTTGCATAAGTTAATTTAATTCTTTAATGAAAAATATTATCATGTGATACATTGAGAAAAACAGTTAACCAACTCCATGTATTGAGCTTTTTGCTAGATGCAGCTGAGAAAAGATACACCGCCCTACAATTTTTTTTTTTTATGATATATATATATATATATATACAGTATATATATATATATATATATATATATATATATATCAGGGAATTACTGCAAATGTTTTTTTTTTATTCATTGTAAATTGCTGCCCAGTAAATTTGTAACAATTGTTTCATTCATCAAATGTAAAATGTGTGACACCTTGATAAACAAAAATGTTAAAGTGTTTGAAAACCTTTTTTTTTCCCTAAAATAAAAGTGTAGTGGTTTTGCACAGAGCGGCCTGAGTCCTCTTCTCTGGTCCCCTGCAGGCTCTCTTGGCCCCTCCCTTCTGTCGGGTGCCCCTGCAGTATGTTATATCAACTCCCAAATAATAATAACTCCCCAGTCATTTTTATACATGTAATAATAACTCCCCAGTCATTTTTATATATGTAATAATAACTCCCCAGTCATTTTTTTATATGTTATAATAACTCCCCAGTCATTTTTATATATGTATTAATAACTCCCAAACAGAAAAAGGTGTAAGTTATCTAAAAGAAATTCAATTTTTGAATTAAATGTTTATTATTAAATAAATGAGTGCATTTATAACTTGGAATTTGGCATTTTAAAGAATTTGGCACTTTAAAGAATTGATCCACCAAATAATTAATGATAACTTTCAATAATTAAAACCTGTTAACACTCCTACGTATATATTAACAGATAAGGCATATTAATTTAAGCTCTTACTTTCAACTTTTATGTCATTTAGCTTCTTTAAAACTAGGGGAGTTATTATTACCAATATAAAAAATGACTGGGGAGTTATTATTATTTGGGAGTTAATATAACATACTACACCCCAACGGCAAGCAGCTTGCTATGGGAGCACCGGCTGCTCCATTTACGCACACAGCCATGGCTTGCCCCCCCCCCCTCTCCTCATTGGCTGACTGCCTGTGATTGACAGCAGTGGGAACCAATGGCTCCTACATGTTGTCTCAGCCAATGAGGAGGCAGAGATCCGGGACAGCAGAGGCTGTCGTGCACATCGCTGGATCGCGATGGGGCTATGGTAAATATTGAGGGGGTTGGGGGCACTGCTGCACACAGGTTTTTAACCTTGAATGCATGAAGGTAAAAAACCATGAGCCTTTACTCCCACTTTAATATTCTAGATAATTTCATTGACTTGTTTATTTGAAAGTAAGTTGTTTAATTAAACCAGCTGCTCATTGCAAATACAACAAATGGGTGCATACTGTATAGTTACACATGACAGTTCACAAAACATCCAAAAGGATTTACACTAGTACCAAGGCAAAACGGAGACACAATTCATTTGTAAAAAGATTGAATACACTGATGCCTGTTAGTAAAACACACATAAAACAGAAAGGCAAGTGTGCTGGCCATGGTGCTGATCTTGTCTGCCCTCAGTTACTACAGCAGACTCCAGTGGATCCACTTCTGTGGATTACTTACAAAAAATAAGAATATGCAATACTTTTAACCAAAACCAAAAATGTAAGTTTTAATAAATGTTTATTAAAGCAAAAAAAACATAGAAAAAGTGTAATTTAACCGGTTCTGTGCCGCCCTATAGCAGAAATACTGCTACAAAGTGGCACGGGTGTTCAAAATTATTATTATTATTATACAGGACTTATATAGCGCTGACAGTTTGCTCAGCGCTTTACATTATGGATGGAGACAGTATAGTAACAATACAGTTCAATACAAGAGGGATTAGAGGGCCCTGCTCCTTGGAGCTTACAATCTAAGAGGGAGGGATAGTGGTACAAGAGGTAATTAGCTGTGGGGGATGGAGTGGTTGGGGGAGTAGGGTAATCCAGTAATTAGCCGGGGTCGGGGTAGGCTTCCCTGAAGAGATATATATATATACGTGATTTTGCAGTTCTGGGTACGGTGATTACTCGCTGGCACCTGGTGATCGCCAAGTATCTCCGACGGGGGAGAGACCTGTTTATAAACAACACAGATCTCTCCCATGTCAGCTCCTGCACACTGCTTTGTATGGCTCTGCATAGCACAGCCATACAAAGCAGAGTGCTTACAGTGAAGCACACACACACAGCACACATAGTGAAACAGCACACAGTTAACCCTTTGATTGCCCCTCATGTTAACCTCTTCCTGCCCAGTGCCATTAGTACAGCGTCGGTGCTTTTTATTAACACTGATCGCTGTATTGGTGTCATTGGGGATGTCAGTGACACCAAGTCAGTTCTCCCCAGTGTCAGAATACCCACCGCAGTCCCGCTATAAGTCGCTGATTGCTGCCATTACTAGTAGAAAAAAAAGATTCCAGTATCTATACCGCTATTTGTAAACGCTATAACTTTCTTGTAAACCAATTAATTTACACGTGTTGGGATTTTTTTTTTCTATCAAAGACGTAGAAGAATACATGTTGGCCTAAATTTAATTTTTTTTAATTTTTATACTGAACATGTTTAATAGCAAAAAGTCAAATGTATTGTTTTTTTTCTCAAAATTGTCAGTCTTTCTTTTGTTTATAGCGCAAAAAAGAAAAAATCCACAGGTGATCAAATAGCACTAAAAGAAATTTAATTTGGGTGCAGTGTTGCATGACTCTGCAATTGTCAGTTTAAGTAACGCAGCGCCGTGTCCCAAAAAAAATGGTCTGGTCAAAAGGGGGGGGGGGTAAATACTCTGGAGGGCATGTGGTCCACTATAGCAAAAGGTGGAACAGAGAGAATGGGAATATAATGGCATGGTCAGGGGACAAATAAAAAAGAAAGCACCAAGGAAGGAGGAAATTAATAAAAAAAAAAAATCAATGCATGTGAGTTATGTTATTTTGACCTGATTTAGGCTCCATGCACACTAGCTTAAAAAAACACTCCTAGCAGCAGCTTTTAAACATTTTTTTCTGCTTCTAGAAGCAAATAGTGTTATATTAAGTGGCCATGTACACTGTTTTAGTCTAGAGGCATTTTTTAGGCTTCATCATTTAGGAGCAGATAGAAAAAAAATTTTTTTGTGTTTTTTGGAGCTATTTGCCATCAGAAAATAAACATTCATAAATGCTGCTAACCGGAGCTAAGCACTGGTTTCCAGTGTTTTTACCTTTTTTTTTCTTAGTGGCTAGCTGCCAACATCCTTAACAACCAGTGACTAGCTGGTTGTTAAGGATCGGCCCAGCAAGCCAGCCACCATGTCTTTAACAATGGATGACTCATCAGCTGTCAGTGGGATTCTCCTCTGACAGCAGACTGTAAACAAAAGAATTGCCATCAATTAAAATGTTTGAAAAATAACAGCGAGAGGGTCCCCCCAATCCATACCATGCCCTTCAAGTCCATACCACGCCAACATTAAATTTAAAAAACTGCATTTAGTTCCACCCCAAATCCATACCAGACCCTTACATCTGGTATTGATTTTGAGGGGAACTCCATGCCAAAATTAAAAAAAAACAAATTCCCCAAAACCCTGGGCGGTTGTTGTGGGAGTCTGCAAGCAGGGGGCTTATCAGGATCTGGAAGCCCCCTTTAACATGGGGGCCCCAGATCCTGGTTCCCCCATGTGAATGAGTATGGAGCACATTGTGCCCCTACTCATTCACCAAAAATATATAAACACGCAGACAGTTTTAAGAAAAAAACAAAAACCAATGTCCCCTGAAGTAAATGCAGCATCAATCAATGAACGCCGCCGCCGACCCTCCACCCCACAAAAAAAAAAGAGCTCTGCACCCAACGCTGGCTCCTGTTGTCTGACAGCTCCACCACGTCCAGCAGTGAAATAAACTAAGGGGCGGAGCCACCCGTGATGTCAATGGTTAATGACATCACAAGGGGCAGGATTACCCCCTGTGATGTCACCGGATTCCATCATTTTTTTCAGCTCTTAAGTGATAGTTAAAGTGGTTGTAAAGTCAAATATTTAATTTAAAAAAGGTTTATCATAACTTGCTCTGTGCAATGGTTATGCACAAAGCAGTGCACAGAGAAGCCCCTTACCTCTTCTGGAATCACCCGCTGGCACTGAATGCACCTCCTCTTCTTCGTGTGTCCCCCATAGCAAGCTATGTGCTATAGGGGTCGACGTGCAGGAACACTCCTTAACCAGGCTGTGTGCATCCATAGACACAGACAGCACTGCATGGTTTCCCCCCCCGCAGACAGCATTAAGGAAAAAAAAAACCTTTTCTCTTTAAAACCATTCTCCAGAAATAATCCATACCCATCCACTTACTGATAGCCCTGCAATCTATTTTTCAGGTAAGAATTTCTTGCTGTGTTTTTCTGCCCCCTTGTAATATCCTCTGTGAGCTTCCAAACCTTTCATTTTCCCCCTCACTTCCATTTGTCTGGACAAGCAGTTCACAATCATGTATACTTGTCCATGCACACTACAAATCCCATAGTCCATAGTTTTTTCTGGGGAGCAGGCAGGATAGGGTGGCTACAAACCTATATATTGTGGGACCATGGAGAATAAAAGTAGCCACCCTCTAACAGGAAGTCAGATCATAATAAAAGGATTTTGAAGATTTGGAGGAGGCTGAGAGTAATAGGGACTTTTGAGTTTCTGGTGTGTTTTTCACCTGACATGTAACTCAAAAAATGCACCAAAAAGGCAACCATGGGTCAAAAAGGAGGTGCTTTTCTTTGTTTTTTTTTACCACACAAAACATGCACCAAAAATGCAGCAAGTAGGACTCTGAAAAACACAGTGGACCTGCAACTGACCAGTGTGAAGAGTTCCATAGGATTTACCAGTCATGTGTTTTTCTTCCACTTTTTTTAATGCAAAAATGGAAGAACTATGGATCAGTGTGAAAGCAGCCTTACATCAGAACATCTGTTCCATTTTATCAATACATACTTGAATAGATTTTTTTAAATCCAGAATTTAGTGTCACTTTAAAGTGGTTGTAAAGGACCAGAGCATTTTTTTTCATTTCTGCTATGGACCTGTTTATTTGGCAAGAACACTGTCATTACTAAAAATAACAAGGTAACAAATATATTGTTTTCTAAAAGGATAAACAAAGCTTGATATTGTCTTACAACAATGATTTTTTTAATTGTTTTTGCAATCCTTAGACAATAAAATGCAACAAAACTAAACAAAACACACTTCTTTTTGTAAGCAGTGTTTGTTTAAAAATAAATAGTGTTACTGCACATAAAAAGTGCATATTTTATTCTATCATTTGTTTTGTTTAAAATGACACTAAAATTATGACTGGAAATGTATAAATATATGGCAAATGTGTAAAAATAATATTAACAAAAAAAACAAAAACAAAAAAAAAAGTTTACTCACTTCCATAAAGGGCACTTTTACCATCAGGCCAATTTTCAGCTTTCAGCGCTGTCACACTTTGAATGACAATTACTCAGTCATGCAGCACTGTACCCAAACTAAATTATTATCACTTTTTTTAGACAGACAGAGCTTTCTTTTAGTGGTATTTAATCACCACTGGGTTTTTTTTAATCTTTTGTGATATAAGCGAAAACATACCGAAAATGTTTTTTTAAAACAGCATTTTTCTTACTATTATAAAAATTTAGTAAATAAATAGTATTTGTTCATAAATTAAGGCCAAACGTTATACTGCTACATATCTTTGGTAAAAATAACCCAAATCAGTGTATATTATTTAGTCTGTGTGAAAATTATCAAGTCTACAAGCTTTGGTATGTATCATTCAAAATTGATCAATCCTGATGTACTGACTTTAATTTCTTGAGGCCCTAAAATACCATGAAATACCTGCCAAATGACCCTTTTTTAGAAAGTAGACAGTACAAGGTATTTAGTAAGAGGAATGGCGAGTTTTTTGAAGTTGTAATTGTTTTCCCCACAATTCTTTGGGAAATTAAATATATTATTTTCACAAATTTGTCATTTTAACAAGTTCTCATTCACGGCATATGCATACTTGCAACTACACTCCAAAAGACATTGTGATACTCTTCCTGAGTATGGAGATTCCACTTATGTGAGACTTTTTCACAACCTTTCCACATAGAGAGGCCAAACATCCTTCAGGCAGTTTAGGAGCATGATAGGCTGCACTGGTGGTCTGCTGTGACAGATACACAGATAGGCTGCATTGATGGCTGCAGTGACAACTACACTGATAGGTTGCACTGATGGCTATGGTGACAGGTATACTGAAAGGCTGAACTGATGGCTGTGGTGATAGGTACACTGATAGGCTGCACTAATGGGCTGCTGAGACAGGTACACTGATTATGGCTGCACTGATGGCTGCTGCTGTGACAGGTGCTTTTATTACATGGTTGATCAGGCAATCAGGGCACAGTACTGAAGGGGTTAAAGTGGTAACTCCTTGTTCCTGTGTTCTCCTTTTCACACAGGATCTATGTGTGAGGAGATGCGGGAAACAGCGAGCTATCACTGTCTATTGATATCATGTGATCGGCTGCGACTGGACACAGCCGATCACATGGTAAAGAGACGTTTTCATTGTCTTCTTACCCTGATCAATGATGTGCTGTGTCTGAGGGACACAGCTCACCACTGATCACCGCTCTGTATGCCCCATGACATGGAGCATCAGCGGGAGCCATTAGCTCCAGCTGCTGTCAATCAAATCCTGTGAGGAGGGAAAGGCTGAGCCACGCTGTGTGTGTTAATAGATTCACACAGCCTAGCTCAGGATTGAGCCTGCACGAGTGACCCCATAGCAAGCAGCTTGCTATGGGGGCATTCAGAAGTGAGGAGGAGCCCAGAAGAGGAGATAAGGGACTTCTCTGTGCAAAACCAATGCACGGAGCAGATAAGCATAACATGTTTATTATTACAAAAACAAAGCCAAAAAAGCCCCCCCAAAAAAGAACCTTTATAATTACATTAACCACTTTAAGACTGCCCACCCGCAATGCACAGGTGGCTGCTGTAGGCAAAGTGACCTTAACCCCTTGATTGCCCTAGATAATAACCTCTTCCATGCCAGTGTCATTGGTACAGTGAAAGTGTATAGTATTATCACTGAATTAATGTCACCAGTGATGTCAGTGGCAATTAGTGTCAGATTGCCCACCGCACTCCCACAGTCTCATTAAAAGTCGCTGATCTCTGCCATTCATAGTATAAAAAAAAATCCAGTGTTTGTACCATAGTTTGTAGATGCTATAACTTTCACACAAATCAATCAATATACACTTTTTGGGATTTTTTTTAATCAAAGACATGTAGCAGAATCCATTTTTAATTGAAATTCTCTTTTTTGTTGGATATGTTTTATAGCAGAAAGTAAAAAAAATTTTTTTTTTTCAAAAGTTTCGTTTTTTTTCTTGTTTGTTTGCTTGTATCACAAAAAAAATAAAAAATCCCTGCGGTGATCACTTACTACCAAAAGAAAGCTCTATTTGCAAGAAAAAAAGTTATAAATATTGTTTGGGTACAGTGTTGCGTGACCGTGCAATTACCAAGTAAAATAGCACAGTGCTGAATAGCAAAAAATGCCCTCGTCATGAAGGGGGGTAAAAGCTTCCGGCGGTTAACATTAGGCCCCTTTCAGATGGGGTAGGCCCGCCAGCGGATCTCTTTGCTCAGCAGGGGAGCTCTCCACTGATGTGGATATAGTTATATAGTTAGTCTGGCTGAAAAAAGACAAAAGTCCATCCAGTTCAACCATAAAAAAAAAAAAGTTATAATCCTATACCCACAGTTGATCCAGAGGAAGGCAAAAAAAACCAGCAAAGCATGATCCAATTTGCTCCTGCTGGGAAAAAAAATTCCTTCCTGATCCCCCTAGAAGCAATCATATATTTCCTAGATCAAATTACCTATAAATGTTAGTAACCAGTTATATTCTGTGTATCTAGGAAAGAATCCAGGCCTTTTTTAAAGCAATCCACTGAGCTGGCCAGAGCCAGCTCTTTAGGGAGTCTATTCCATATTTTCACAGCTCTTACTGTGAAGAAACCTTTCCGTGTTTGGAGATTAAATATCTTTTCCTCCAGACGTAAAGAGTGCCCCCTTGGATTCAAGGTCTGTGTTCGCTCCGCTGCTGCAGACTGGACACAGACACAGCCTGCTTTTTTGTATGGACCACCTGTCCGTTTCCACCTGACAGTCATCCGATCCGACAGACAAAAGGTAGAATGGATCACCAACCATCTGTTTTTGGTGTACAGGATCAGATGCTGGTGGGGATCAGCGGACACTTGTCCGCTGGCACCCACTTGTCTGCTGGCACCCACCTCTCCATAGAGTTCTATGGATGGTCCGATCAGGTCCACCTGAAAAGCTGACAGGTGGTCCCGACCATCAGCCCGGGTTCACACTGATGCGGTGCGGCACATCACATGCAATTCGCACTGCATTCCTGCGCAAATCACATGCGATTTGTGTGTGGTACAATTTGAAAAGCGCGTGTGCGCCCTACCCGCACCGCCATTCACAGCTGTCAATCACCAGATCCCAGCTGTTGATTACTCGCTGGAACCTGGTGATTGCCGAGCATCTCTGAGGGCGGGTGGGGGGAGAATTGTATGTAAACAAAACAGTCATCTCCCCTCTCAGCTCCTCCTGCACACTGCTTTGCATGCTTTGCATAGCAGAGTCATACAAAGCAGTGTACATACAGTGAATCACACACACAGCCCAACAGTAAAACAAAGACAGCACACAGGTAACCCTTTTATCGTCCCTCATGTTAACCCCTTCCTGCCCAGTGCCATTAGTACAGTGTCAGTGCTTTTTATTAGCACTGATCACTGTATTGGTGTCACTGGGGATGTCAGTGACACCAAGTCAGTTTCCCCCAGTGTCAGAATGACTGCCGCAGTCCCGCTATAAGTCGCTGATCACCACCATTACTAGTAAAAATAACAAAAATAAAAATCCCAATGTATATACCGCCATTTGTAAATGCTATAACTTTCACATAAACCAATTAATTTACACGTATTGGGATTTTGTTTTAGCAAAGACATGTCGCAAAATACATTTTAGCATACATTTATAATGAAATTTGATTTTTTACATTTTTTTACTGGACGTGTTGAATAGCAAAAAGTCACTTATTTTTCTCAAAAATTGTCAGGCTTTTTTATAGCGCAAAAAAATAAAAAGCACACAGTTGATCAAATACCACCAAAAGAAAGCTCTATTTGTGGGGGGGAAAAGGATGTAAATTTAATTTGGGTGCAGCGTTGCATGACTGCGCAATTGTCAGTTAAAGTAAAGCAGCGCAGTAATGCAAAAAGTGGCCTGGTCAGGAAGGGGGGCAAATCCTCTGGACGGCAAGTGATTAATATAAAAAAAAAAAACAAAAACCAAACAAAAAACAAACAAAAAACCCTTTACAATCACTTCCTGATTGGCATTTGAAATAACCTTGATTATGTAGAGAAAGCTCCAGATCAAGGACAGCTGGGGGCAGGGGCGGACTGACAACTCATGGGGCCCCCGGGCAATAGGGGATCATGGGGCCCCTGTGTCCTTGCCCAAACTCAAAAAAGCCTATGAAAAAAGGTACCAGGGGCATCTCATGGGGCCTCCTACTGACCCCGGGCCCTTGGGCAGTGCCCGAGTTTCCAAATGGTCAGTCCGCCTCTGGCTGGGGGTCTGTGAGGTTCCACCAGAGGGTCAGACCCTGGAAATCAGGGCAGTAGGGATGAGAGTGATGGATACATGGTACATGTCTGTGCTGAGCAGGATCAAGTCTCCCCCAATGTAAACATGCTCAGCAGTTCTATCAATGAGTCACATTAATATGAGTCAGCTGTCACACAGGCAGAGCTGTCACCTCGGCTGCCTTGTGATATGAAGACACAGACGTCCCCTAGCAGAACTAATATATCGTGCAGCAGTTGGCTGTATGAACGGAAGCCTGTCAGGAGGGGCCCCTGAAGGACACTGGCTGTGCACTGGGGGCACCTTGAGCCCCCACTGGAGCCTGTGTGCCATGAGCTCAGGGCGGACACAACCCCCCTGTTTGGCGCTCGCCCTCCTGTGTCTCGCAGGTGATTACTGGCAGCGAGCCGCGCGTTCTCTGTGGGCGGGACATGTGCGCTGAGGTCTGTGGGAGGGGCCGGAGCTATATAACGGGGTGCGCACGCAGGCTGCTCGGCTCCCTGGGCTGAGTGAGCGGAGAGCATCAGGTTGGCATTCATGTAAAAAAGAAAAGAAGGAAGTGGGGGGAAGAAGCAACAAGAGGCAGCGCGGGGAGGGGAGCCGGCGGCTCTACTAGCGGGGCTGAAGGAGGAGGAGGAGGCCGCCGGCGCCGCTTCCCCTGCCCGCCCTCCCCTCCGCTCACCTTTATGGACGAGCACCTCAGCCTCCTGCACTCCCCTCCGCCGTCCTCCACCAGGCACCGCACCAACAGCAACATCGTCAACCCGGGCTACACGGACGCGGAGCAGGAGAGCATGACGGTGGTGGCGTGTGATAACCTCCTGGAGGAGGCGGCCGCCCTGCCTGGACAACACTCCTCCGAGGTGTACGAGCAGGACGACCACGAGTGCTGTGAGCGGGTGGTCATCAACATCTCCGGGCTCCGCTTCGAGACCCAGCTGAAGACTTTAGCCCAGTTCCCCGACACCCTACTGGGTGACCCCAAGAAGAGGATGAGATACTTCGACCCGCTCCGCAACGAGTACTTCTTCGACCGGAACCGACCCAGCTTCGATGCCATCCTCTACTACTACCAGTCCGGGGGCCGCATCCGCCGACCCGTCAATGTGCCCATCGACATCTTCTCCGAGGAGATCCGCTTCTACGAGCTGGGCGAGGAGGCCATGGAGAAGTTCCGCGAGGACGAGGGCTTCATCAAGGAGGAGGAGAGACCCCTGCCTGCCAATGATTTCCAGCGCCAGGTCTGGCTGCTCTTCGAGTACCCGGAGAGTTCGGGTCCCGCTCGGGGCATCGCCATTGTCTCTGTGCTGGTCATCCTCATCTCCATCGTCATCTTCTGCCTGGAGACTTTGCCCGAGTTCCGGGACGACAAGGAATACAACGGGCCGGCGGTGCTGCCCCAGCTCAATGCCACCGGCCCCTTCCTTAGCAGCTCCTTTACCGACCCGTTCTTCGTGGTGGAGACCCTGTGCATCATCTGGTTCTCCTTCGAGCTCCTGGTCCGGTTCTTTGCCTGCCCCAGCAAAGCCACCTTCTCCAAGAACATCATGAACATCATTGACATTGTGGCCATCATCCCTTACTTCATCACCTTGGGCACCGAGCTGGCCGAGCGACAGGGGAATGGTCAGCAGGCCATGTCTCTGGCCATCCTCAGGGTCATCCGGCTGGTCAGGGTCTTCCGCATCTTCAAGCTGTCCAGGCACTCCAAGGGGCTGCAGATCCTGGGGCAAACCTTGAAGGCCAGCATGAGGGAGCTGGGGCTGCTCATCTTCTTCCTCTTCATCGGGGTCATCCTCTTCTCTAGCGCTGTCTACTTTGCCGAGGCTGATGACCCCTCCTCAGGCTTCAACAGCATCCCCGATGCCTTCTGGTGGGCAGTGGTCACCATGACCACAGTGGGCTACGGGGACATGCACCCGGTCACCATTGGTGGGAAGATCGTGGGCTCCTTGTGTGCCATCGCCGGGGTGCTCACCATCGCTCTACCCGTGCCTGTCATAGTGTCCAACTTCAACTACTTCTACCACCGGGAGACCGAAGGTGAGGAGCAAGCCCAGTACCTACATGTAGGCAGCTGCCAGCACCTGTCCTCTAACGAGGACCTCAAAAAGACCCGTAGTAATTCCACTCTTAGCAAGTCGGAGTACATGGTAATTGAGGAAGGGGTGAGCCCTGGGCCCTTCAAGCAGCCCAGCTTTAAGACTGCCAACTGTACCACCAACAACCCCAACTGTGTGAACATCAAGAAGATCTTCACCGATGTGTAATCAATGCACGACCAAAAGATGGAAGGGTCCACCAACCAGCCGCTGGAGAAATGTCACCACCATCGACATCAGTGTGTCCCACTTTTTCATTTTTAGGGTAAGGCAGCTGTGCTCACACTCTATAGGAGGAGATCAAAGTGGTGCTAGAAGGCAAAGTCGTGCCAGGAGGCTGCACATCTCTCTTTTATTACGTTTTTACAAACAAGGGAAAGTCCCGATTCTTTTTTATTGTTTGCCATCAGATGAAGTGCTGCTTGTAGTCTACGAACTAAGAAGCAAACAGTTGCTTTCAACAGATCAACATTTACCTCCAAAGCCTCTTTTTTATTGATTTAATTGCACTTTTTTAAATTCGGATTCTTATTCTGATCATCATGTCACTCTTTTTGTGGACACTACATCAAAGCACAGAAGTTGTATCTGTGAACAAATCTTTTATTCTATTAGCTCTTTCGCAGCATTCAGTAGGTGTGCGCCGTAAGCGAATTCGTTTTAATTAGGTTTCTGATAACAAATGATGAATATATAGCCTAGGTAAACCTGAACTGCAAAACTGTGTAGAAATCCTTCTCTGATAGTGCCAATTTCTATTGTGTAAATCCTAAAGCAGAGGAATCTTTCTGCCTTCTGTGGATGCTGTTATGTGTGACAGTCTACATGCCAGAAGAAGATTAAACTGCTGGACTTGCTTTTCATCGGAAGTTACTAATTCTGACCTGAGTGATGCAGTTTCCATAGCAACATAGGTTTCCTGAGAAACCCAGTTGTCATGGCATCCTTGTTTCTATAACAACCATCCAGATGGTTTCCAACTTACAGAGACACTGCTGCTGTTGGGAAAACGCTCAGAGAAAGTTAATTCCTGGGAGATTTGCAAACTAGGTATGAAAAATGGGAACCTCACCTGCGAACAAGGAGATGTGGAGCCAAACCAAACCACACTGTGAAGGGCACGATAATGCTTCCAAAAACGGCAATGGAAATAATAATGGAGAAAAATATATATAGCAAACAGAAAAGGAAGTCAATTAATTCTAATGGAAAAAATTCTCAGTTATATCAAGTCTGCAGTGAGGAGCAAAACAAACAACAGGTCTTTGTCCAGATAAAATCAGCTGTAGCATTACAATAAAGCACTTTACAAGTGGAAAACACATCAGCACTTACATGACTTTTTATAGCAAATGATCACGCCTTATGAAGAACAATAAGAGGGTCTTAAGGCAACTAGCACTACAAGTGTCAGCCTGGTTTTGCTAGACCCGGTCACCAGGGAGTGATGGAACCTTAGAAAGGTGAGAAGTGAAATTTATGAAATGTTACATTTTGTCTTTTCTCTGAAATGTTTTATGTTGTCATTTAAACATATCTAGGCTGGGCTTTCCATTTGAAATAATATTGCTACATTTTGCTGCATGCCTATAACATTAGTTATGATATCTAGGTAAACACTGCTTTCTTCTTGGACCCCTTTCACATGGGCGTTCTTTTTTTTTTTTTTTTTTTTTTATTCAGTCATGTTTTTTCCAAGAAAAAATGGATCAGTTCACATCAGTTTTTCATCAGTTCACATCAGTTTTTCATCAGTTCACATCAGTTTTTCATCAGTTCACATCAGTTTTTCATTAGTTTTCATCAGTTTTTCATTAGTTTTCATTAGTTCACATCAGTTCACACCAGTTCACACCAGTTCACACCAGTTCACATCAGTTTTCATCAGTTTTCATCAGTTTTCATCAGTTTTCATCAGTTCACATCAGTTCTCATTAGTTCACATCAGTTCACATCAGTTCAGTCAGTTCACATCAGTTTTCATCAGTTTTCATCACAGTTTTTTTCATCAGTTTTTCATCAGTTTTCATCAGTTTTCATCAGTTTTCATCAGTTTTTCATCAGTTTCACATCAGTTTTTTTCATCAGTTTTCATCAGTTTTTCATCAGTTTTTCATCAGTTTTCATCAGTTCACATCAGTTTTCATTAATTCACATCAGTTCTCATCAGTTTTCATCAGTTTACATCAGTTCACATCAGTTTTTCATTAGTTCACATCAGTTTTCATTAGTTCACATCAGTTTTCATTAGTTCACATCAGTTCTCATTAGTTCACATCAGTTCTCATTAGTTCTCATTAGTTCTCATTAGTTCTCATTAGTTCTCATCAGTTCACATCAGTTCACATCAGTTTACATCAGTTTTACATCAGTTTTTCATCAGTTTTTCATTAGTTCACATCAGTTTTCATTAGTTCACATCAGTTCACATCAGTTTTGATTGGCTTTAATGTGTCTTACAACATAAGGGAGGGTTTGACATCTAAATGTGGCTTTATTGGGAACTTTGATTTGGCTCATCCCATAATATAACCACACAAACAGGACCCCCAGATTTCACTTTTGATCTCACTTATAGATTAATTGAGACCAGAACTTCACTGTTCAGATCTGCTCAGTATCTAGTTTTGTTGTGCAAAGGAAATGTAGCTGTATGAGACATTCAATATACTACAGGAGCATTGTACTTTTTTATTGGGACTGCAGAAAGTTTCAATTACCAACAGAGGTCCAATTATTCAGAGCTAATTGAAATCCAATGTATTTCTTTTCAATTTTAGTGTTTAGTTCTAGTGGCTTATCAGTGTGTGCTCAAAAATTTTTTGGCTATAATCAAACAACTTAAAGGAGAACTCCAGCCTCATCCTTTTCTGTCCCATATGCTTCTTTGGTACTTGGTGGAGAACTGTGCTACTGTTTTTTCGCCTCCTGTCTCCCTGTATGCTTCTGAATTTTCTTTGAAGGGCATTACAGCAGAAACACTTCTTATCTGTGTGACATTCAGTCTCCCACATCACCCCACTGACTGTCATAAACACGCCCCCTGGACTGCAGGGGTTCCTAATCACTGCTGCTGTGTCCTATATGATGCAAGTCATTTCTGTAGTGTCAGTTTATTCAGAACTAGAAAGAGCATCCTTTCTGTGCACACTGAATCCTGGGACTCACAAACCTCTCTTCAACTGACAGTGTACTATATGCTGTTGTGTTTCCTTTGTGTGTGAATGCAGGTCCTTTTCTCAGTGAGTACAACTGACATGATGGGGGAGATTTACTACTGTTGGATACACATTATCAGTTTTTATTTCGTTCAACCCAGTGGGCCAAATAAAAAAGAAAAACTGAAGAGGTTGTTAGTATAGTGATCTCCCTGATGAGCTATTGTGTTCTGACAGGGGGAATGCCCCCTTACCAGAACACACCAGTCAGCTCTCGCAGCCATTGGTTGCCAGCAGTGATCAGATGCTGTTCGGATGCTGGTTTTCCAGCTTGCCCGTTTGACAGCATGTTTGACAGACAGTGTACACACTCGCCAAATGTGACCAGTTTCTGTTAAAGCAGCCAATATTTGGTCTTTGTGTACGAGGCTTAAAATTGGAGCATGCAAAATCTGGTGCAGCTCTGCATAAAAACCAAGCAACTTCTATGTTTTATTGCCAAAGCTTAATTGAATAAGCTGAAGTTAGAAGCTGAATGGCTACCATACACAGCTGCACTAGATTCTGAGTGCTCCAGTTTTAGTAAATCTCCTCCAATGTGTTTTTACATTATTAGGTGATAATATGTGCTGTTTTATCAACTTATACATGAGCAGTAAGGAGTATAGAAAGGTAGCTCAGACTAGTGTCTTTTGGAGTGTACTCTGATCTGGACTGCAAACAATATTTAATTTGCAGTTTTGTACTATTCAAATTTAGGCACAAATTTAGGCAATGCTGTGTGAATTGGCCCAGATAGGCATAATATCTGCAAAATACCAATTGCTGTTGCAGTGGAAGTTACTGAAGTGATGTGCTGTCTCCACCTGACTCCTCACACCAGTCAGTGCTAAGCAGGATGGAAAAGACTAGGGATGGTCAAGTGACCTGTTTTTTCTAGTTTTTTTGCTGCTGCTTCAATCCCTCTGTAAATATATATACATGGCCTGGTATAGAAGCAGTTATAACGGGATCATGGTTGAGGCTACAACCATGATCCCATATCATTTTATCAAGCAGGCGATTCTCTTTTATAAAAAAATAATCAGAGCGGCTGTGCAGCCGCTGGATTACTTTTACAGGTGGCTGAAGGGGGTCCCACCCCTCTCCTGCAGCCGCTGCCTCCGCCTTTACTGGGCTCTCCTGTGCAATAGGGGAGCCCAGTAAAGATGCGACTGGCAGCAAAGGCTCCTCTGGACACAATGGCAGGAACTGATGTTGTTCCTCCCACTGTGTGACATCAGAAACTGGAAGCAACAAGGATTTAGTCACTTCCAGTTTTAGCTCTGTGTTTACTGGCTGGTTACCGGCCAGTGAAGCAGCTGATCAGACCAATCTGTGTCTGATCAGCTGCATTGGAGGCCAGACCTCTAATAGACCCCACATCTCTCCATAAAGAGGACCTGTCATGGCCCATGCTATCACAAGGGATGTTGTTCATCTCTTCTGATAGCAAGTGATCCGCACACATTGGTCCTGCACACATGTAAAGAGTGATCACAGCACACATGTGAACTATCACCGCGAACGTCAGAGTGAGAGCAATAATTCTAATACCAGACCTCATCTGTTTACAGGAGTGTACAAAACACAGATCCCTCTCTTGTCAATGGGGATGTTCTGTTTTTTATCTCTGCAAACAGGGAGATAAAAACCAGCACATCCCCTAGTAAAAACACTACACAGTACAATGTAATGACACTCCCCAACACACAGTTAACCCTTTGATCTCCCCAGATATTAACCCCTTCCTGCCTAATGTCATTAGTACCATGTCAGTGCTTTTTATTAGCAATGATCACTGTATTAGTGTCGCTGGAGATGTCAGTAGCAGTTAGTCAGTTCCCACCCAGTGTCAGTTAGTGTCAGAATTCCGGCCGTACTATATCAGTCCCACTATAAGTCGCTGATCGCCGCTCTTACTAGTATGAAAAAAAAATCCAGTATATATACTGCCATTTGTAGAAGCTA